TCTATTCTAAATATTATTTAAATTTACAATGCATTTTTGGCTCATAATAAACAAGCAAATAGCGAAACCCCTTGCCATTTCGACATCAAAGTTCAGAAAACTTATCTCGCCTTCCAACCGCCGGCCACGTTTTATACTATTTTCAGAAAATGGTTGTAACTGATCCTAGATCATTTTGAAATAGTCTCTTTCGGGTGAATTCGTTTGCCCTTCATTTTAGCCTGAATATATTGATTTTGGGCTATATAGCATGTTTAGCTGAAGCTCCCAGCATAAAATCTTTTTTTCTCTTATTCTTTTTTGATTTTGGTCGATGATGTGGTTTTGATCACGCGTTTCGTTGAACTACAGGAAATATTTAGAATCAAGGCCTGATATTCTCACGGTTTACTCAGTCCACCGAGCACTACAACATATGTAAATACCGACGGATTCTGAGAGCTTTTACTCGCAAAGTTATATCACTTACTCAAAACCTTACCCTTAATAATTATTTCCGTTGTTGAATGCACAGATGATCATTTTCAACAGTATGTTTGTTTACTGTTTTTGCCAGCAGAATTGAATTGGTCGACACTAGCTCGGTCAAGCATCAGAAACTGGAAATGTCGTCCGAACCTTGTGTGACGCTTCATTCGATTCAACATTCGACGCGAAACATCTCGTCCTTTGTACATGAAAAACAAGAAAATTTATCTCGGCTTCTAGCAGCGGGCCAAAGTTTCTATTTGCAGGAAATGATTTTGTTATAACTCTAGCTTAGATCACTCTGAAACAGCACATTTCGAATGAATACACACATATGATCGTTTTCAACAATATGTTTCTTTACTGTTTTTGCCAGTATTTACCGTTTTATGTTATTCATATATCCACAGGCTTTTATAGAGACGTTGTAACACATTTTCTAATTCTGCTGTATACATTTTTGATGGTACGATAAATATTGTATGTGTAGCTAATTGTGGTATAAATGAAATAAAACAGCTGATTAATAATAGATATGTTTGCCATGATATTTCTGTTATACAGCTGAATAAAAATGAAAGTATAAGTCGAGGTAAAGCTAGCAATACAAGAAGAATTGAGCTAATAATAAGATGTTTGTGTACGGACAGTTGTTGCTGGAATACAGTCGAAAATTTCTCTTTTCTTACTAATGATTTTGAATGAGTTGAATAAATTAAAAGAACACCGATGGATATGAGATTAAAGCTAAAAGGGACTATATAATGAAGAATGTTAACGATAGAATTGTAATCTCTCAGTATTCCTTCGTACCTAACTATACACCATTGAGGTCCGTTTAAACGTGGATAATCGACAATATGTCGATGGAACGGATCGTGTATGATACTGGCTGCACTGAATACAAGAATTAAAACAGTTACATATCGAGCTAGTTTTCTACTAGCTTTCTTATTGAATTTTGGGCCTTTGATTGCGCTAAAGGCACGTTCGATCGATACACATGCATTTAGATAGTCACATACAGTAGGCAATAATCGAAGAAGATATTCCAATATAATACACAGATATTTGTTACTATTTATGTGTGGCGATAGAATAATAAACATTTTCATTGTCAATGTTAGTAGGCTTAGTTGACCAGTGCACGATGATAGAAGAATATAAATGCCACAGCCGACCACTCGACATCTGCGCTGGACAAAAGTTAAAATAGTTAAACTATTCAAAATGCATCCAATACTAAACATGACTAGGACTGTTGCAAAGCAAAATTGAATAATAAATGGTTGTTTCATTACTGACTGATGCAGCTGTATGTGTAAACCGATAAGCGCATCCAATGAAATGGCGTAATCCGACATTGTAAACTGACATAATTGTCCGTAATAGCATGGCTTACAAATACATGCATAATTCAATGGATTTTGGTCAGTATCTCTTATGCAAAGACCATTATTATTGCAATAGTTTTCTTTTGTACAAGGATGTTTGTTATGATTGAACATAATGCATTGTGTGGTTCGCCGTTTGTCACATATACACATGTATGTCTCGTCGAAGAAACACATCAGTTTTGAATTTGTGTTACATGGTATTTGATAGTATTTGATACGTTTCAAATATGGATAGTTGAAGACCGTTTCGTTAAGTATCGTCTTTATATTAGGACAGATAGTTTTATCCTGTACAATTGCTGTATCATTAGAAGGTGATATCTCGGCGACATAATAAGATCCATATTGTTCGCTTGAGTTTAAAAAAAGCTGTACAAAGTACTTGCTAGCATGAGTTGCATAAACTGTGGGCAGCTTGGATACCATTATATCTTGAAAAAATAGACGATCACAAGTCATCGTTTTTATTCCGTTATTATATTCATCACCTTCTTTGATGTAACAGAAATATACGACAGCAACTGAATTTGTCTTTAATGGTGTCGTTATGTTGATAGAAATAGTGAGTGTGGGACTGGTATTTTCACATCTGGAGCCGCGGTATTTTTCATCACATAGACATACATATTTATGCGATATTAGGGACTTGCGTTCATCGCTGATACCAACACATTTGCCGTTATTAGAACAAGAAAAATTCACTTTATCACAGGTATTATTCAATTGAATTTGACATCTTGAACCAATTCGATTTAACGCACATATGCACAGCGGCCTGTCTCCAAAATCAATACAATGTGAACGTTCACGGCAAAACGATTTACAGATCACGGTTTTCGTATCGCATCGTCGACCAGTCCATCCAGAATCACACTTACAGAAACAGGCCGAATTATCATTACTAGACATAATGTATACACCGTGTATACAGTTTAGCACGTTCCTACAAGTACGAAACTCCGGCGCTAAAACTAATTTAATAGCTAAACGCTGTACTGGCAGAAATTGAAATTTTAAAGTGTAGAACCATGTATACACGTATTGCACACTTGCAGGTGTCACAAGATAAGCATCAATGCACACAAAAGACGGTTCTGTAATGGTGTTGATAGCCGAGAGTTTTGGATATAACATATACAATAGATATTTTTTGGTACTGAACACATACGGCATATGCACAATGTATTCGTAATCGATAATTTTGAAGGTCGTGACGTTTGATAATAGAAAAAATATCAATTTTATAACAACAGACGGCTTGTTCAAATAATATGGTGCAGCCAGCTGAAATATAATCGACAGACGTTTGCGCTGATATTCACAATGATCGCCGTAATAACTTGGAGGAGACATACAACTGTCTTTATACTGAAGTTTATTGTGTAATACCAAACCCCGATTACAATGCCATCCGTAATACACTTCGTCCATATCTACATTAATATTTGATGGCAACAACGAACGTTTCTCTGGAATATCTGGAAGTTTATTATACATAGCAAATTGGTAGTCGCCAATTTCACAAAACCATTCATCCTCAGTAGCCTCACCGTTGCAGCTCTTAAAACCATCGCATCGAAAGCGATTCAGCCTTCTTAGTCCATCCATACATGTAAACTGACCAACTGAACATGGATGTTCCAGTAGCCAACTACATAGCAATTCCTCGTCATCATGCAGTGGACAATCATAAACACAATCACACAGCTGTTTTGGTTCCAAACATATTGTACTATTACGACAATGAAACCGTTTGTGAACGATTAATGGATACTGCGCATGACAGTAACCGATGGCCCGTTCATCAATATTACCCAGACAATTATTTATGCCATGTCCAGCTAACATATAATTGTAACAGGTCATATTACCATAATCATTTTGTACACACCGATGTTCATCTTGGAAACATGTAGGAACACCTGGCCTTTTGTGCAAACAATTAATTTCGTCTACAGCATTTGGACAGTTCCACCTTTTATCGCAATTTGTATAAGTTGTATGACACGACCAATAGTCACAATCTGTTTCGTCTGTCATTCCGTTATTGTCTTCGATTATATCAATAAATCGATCGCACAGTCTTCCGAACAAGTATTTTGATGTAACTTTTAAATCACCGTCACGTAACCAGTCGCACCCTTGTTCATCATCGGAAGTACACGAAATCATGTCTTTCTCATCAGACCCGTCTACACATTCGTATTTGCCATTTTTAACGAATATTCTAGGTATGCATTGATTAGCTATTGTTTTACACTGAAAACGACTCGACAGACTCATGTTGCATACATTCAAACCGTCTACATTTACGTTTTCATCAATTCCATTGTAGCAATCAACGTATCCATCTAGTAAACGTTCTTTCGATATACATGTAAAATTATTTGCTGTTGAGCAAGAAAACAGTTCCGCCACATCATAATCAGTACGTAAAAATGACGAACAGATTGAAAATAAATTTTGCATATTGTTGAACAAGCTACCCCAACTAGAAGAGTTTTTAGACATATTAAAATAGTGATATTCGTTACACGATAACCCATTTATATACATATTTGGTTGGAATTTACCGTTACAAACGATCTCATCATAACAAATATAATCTGGGATCACACTTAGAAAAGTTGCATTTGTTATATTATAAAGGAATTGTACTGACGGATATGCAAAGAAGTTATATGTTGGAAGTTTAACCAGACGAGAATAACATTTGATTAGATATGCATCTTCGTTAATAAGTGGCTCAACACATTCCACATTTTTGTGGATGCGGTGAAAGCCAAACTTGCACATAGTGTACAGCAAGCAGTCGTCGTTGTTGACCAGAGTTAAATTATTCAAGTAGAACATATCGGTCCAAAAGCTTTCATCGTGTAAATTAAAACATGGTGAGTTATCAAAATTTGTATCGAAATACTGAAAATAGTTCCTTAAACATTGTCCATCATTGCACGAAAATTGTGCACGACCACAAAAATGTTCCTCACATTCAATAGTCGATAAAAGTATACATCCATAATAACTTCGTGCTACAGGTCCTGTATCAACTTCATCACTGTCATCCATACAATCGGGATAAATATCAAATGCAAAACTTTTCGATATGCACGTGCCCATACGACAACGGTATTCGAGTTCATTATTACAATGATTTCTTTCTAATTCGAAACACATGCTACTTTCATCAATGGCATCCCAACAATCAATTTTACCATCGCACACCTCTCTCCAATCTAAGCATTTCACTTTTGTTTTATTTATCATATCTGGACATTGTTGATAGCACGTTGCATTTATTATTTTGTTCAATTTATCCAAATATTTATACGTGTTTATTTTGTACCTATAGGTCATAAGGAGTAGCGAGGATAATGATGTAACCTTTGGATTAGTATTTTCAAGAATAAAACTGTATTCACAAAACTGGCCGAATGCTCGTCCACTACAATTACAAAATGTAGTTTCACCATCGTAATTACTTCGGCTATCTATATAACTTTGGTATTGCTCAATGACGTCTATAGATGCATACCAGTCGAACAACTGATCACTTTGGATGTCTCTCTGTTTCAGGTCTTTAAACGAATAAAGTGTACCGTCATAGCAGTTTGGCTCGTGTGATGTTCGAATTCTTCCAGTTGCCCGAATACAATAGGATATTGTTGATTCCAAAACCGCTGCTTTATTACTGTGGCCAACTAAATATAGACAGTCATAATCACTATATGCACCACTAAAACTTTTAAATAAATGATAACGAGTTTCACTTAGCGAAATTGATAATAGAAATACACAATACAAGAATGAATCCATGCGCCTTTAAAATCTATGAATTACATGGTTTTTTCCAAGTCAGATTAAGCAATAACTGGAAATAATATGTTAATGTATTAATAAAAGAATCAATAATAATAAAAGAGCCATAGTTTGACTCAAAAATTAATTGAACACTACAACATATGGCATACAAAATATTAATAATATTATAAAGCTGTATTATTTCCGTTTTCTATTTTTCTCGTGTCAAGGACACTCTTCGATCGTGGAAAGTCACGTAGAACTAATCAAACTATTACTCAACTTTACAATATTAACCATCACTGTTCTTGCGTAATAACTATATTTGCGTCACGGGAAAATAAAAACGATGTTCATCAATAAAAATGAACCCCTTTGAAGCACGTTTTAGTGTTATTTATGAGTGTCAATGACACTCCTCAATCATCAAAAGTCACATAGTCATATCAAACTAGTACTTATTTTACATTATTAACCATCACCATTACTGCGTGATAACCACATTTAGGTCGAGCAAGGTTGAAAAACCATGATTTTTTTATTATTTTTTAAGTAAAATATGAACGAGACGAAATTAAAAGCGGGAAATACTTCAGTGTAGATTAAAGACGACGGGCTATACAACGGTGGGTTTCTGAGCGCTCGAGCTTGTTTGCCTTGTACGACGAAGGAAACAAAGCGATAAGGTAGGGAGAGACCAATAGTTTTGTCACACACTGTAAATAACTTGCTCAACGTTATTACATGGCTTACCGGGCATCGAGATTCGAACACATTAACCTTAAAATACGTAACGAACAGCATAATCACCAACTTTCGTTCCATGGTATCATTGTGCTTGAAAAGATCTTTGTAATTCATCTTAATAACACTAAAACATGCTTCAAAGAGGTTCATTTTTATTGATGAACATCGTTTTTATTATCCCGTGACGCAAATATAGTTATTACGCAAGAACAGTGATGGTTAATATTGTAAAGTTGAGCAATAGTTTGATTAGTTCTACGTGACTTTCGACGATCGATCAGCGTCATTGACAAGAGAAACGAAAATTGAATAGGAAATACAAATTTATAAAAAGTGAAACTGGTACAGTTGTATAATACAGCATTAGGTCAAAAAGTATTTTCTGTTATTTGACGTGATTGAATCCTTTGCAGTCATTTCTGGCTAGTAGCTGTCCGTCAGACGGTTTTTCGGCTCTCACGAATAGACTTTCAGATCCTCTTTTCACCCATCTTTGTATGGTTGGATATTTGTTTATTATTATATCCGTTATTAACTAATATGTATATCGTTTCCAGCCTTTTTCGCCTATATTTATTCTTTTTATCTCTCATAGATGACAGTCACATCAAACCTAATTTGACACTCACCCGTAAATATACTGTGTTCAGCTAATTCTAAATTACCATACATACCTCCTCGTAATACTCGATCAGCATACGCTTTCGATCAAAAACGGAACATGAAATAAAAGATTGAATAAAAATGAGCGCTACTTCCACACTTTCAAGGAATGACGGAAAGAATAAAGTGGAAATGAAAAACATTTAATATTACAAAGTTTTCCCAACATTCTCCAAATATATTTACAAGAATTAATAAAGCGAAACTAATTAAGAGAAAAAATGCGGGACAACCGATACCGTGGGTATATGGAATTCCATATGAGTGTGCTACCTTGTCTGCTTATATGAGGTTATTCTGCAAAGTAACCTCATATAACCAGTCATGACTGGTCACTCTTGTTATGCAATGGCTACAAGTGTTGCAGAACACACATAATAAAAAATATCAGATGGAATAATTGCTATGTGCCGCTTTATATAACTTTCTAGCTTTAATAAATATTGTCCCTCTGTTCTATACATTATAAAGTGCATTATAACTGCAGTGTTTAGTCTTCGTTACACAATTGTTAAACGAACTGATTGATTGAAGTACTACAAAAGATTGCTAGAACATAAGAAGGATTTATCTACAGAATCAGAAAAATAATTTCAGGTGAGTCTCAACTAATCGAAACATTTTCATTTGTAGATAAACGTGTATAGAAAAGAACTGCATGAAACACATAGGTTACCCCTGGGGAAATTGTATTAGATACCGCGGCGTGTAGTTCCGTGAACGTCGTGAAACGAAATGTGAGCGCAAGTGAACATTGTAAATGGTATGTTGGCTCGCGTGAAAAAATTATCCGTTTGTGACCAGGCGTGAACCGTGCACGAAAAATTTTTTCGGTCACATTTTTCGCACGTGGTCACAAATGGAAAGATATGTGACCACGTGTGTAAAAGTTTCTAGACATTCTGACGCGTGTTCGCAAGTGAAACTTTTTTACGGAAATATTAACGCAAAAAATCCACCCGCAGTCACTACACGCTTCTCGAGTTTTATTAGCGGTCACGCGGTAAAAACGTCACATATATGTTTTCGTGAACTGTTCACGTCTGGTCATAGGTAGATAACTTTTACACGCGTGGTCACATATCTTTTCACTTATGACCACGTGCGAAAAGTGTGGACGAAGATTTTTTTGTGCCCGAAATTAAGACAAATTTGTGTTTGTTTATGTTTTTTTGTGCCCGGTCCGGGTACAAAAAAGTCTTTTTACACTTTTGTGCTGGGAGACAGATATGTGTCCGGTTTGTGTGTGAGAAAATTTAATAGTAGGACTGGAGATGACCATAAGTTATCCTGACAGATATGGCTTGTGACATACGTCTGTATGTTTATGTACAAGATGCATACAGTACTATACAGTATTCACAGACCGGCAATGTTGATCAAGGATCTTTTTCGTAAATTCGATTGATATATTATGCACAAATAGAGAATTCGAAGTAATCATTGGGTCATCCTAGTGCAAAGATAGCCCTATAACTGAATTCAGAAAGAAACTTTCAACTAAAACGTACTTTAAACCATGGATCAGAGAGAGTGGAATTTCGTAGGAGAATTTTCTGATGAGAATGATATGAAATTATTTATAAAACAAAATAATGTTTCAATAAAACGAACCGAAACAATAGCTCTTGGAAAAAAGTAACATATCGA